TCGAGAGAGTTAATCTTCTTCTCGTAAGATTCTCGTTCAGCTCCAAACTTTCTTTCAACTTCGATTATCCTATTCTTTTCTATTTCCATCTCTTGCCTTTCATCACTTAAAACCTTTTCCACTTTCAAAACTTTTTCTTTCTCTAAGTTTAACAGCTCTAATACTTCAATCATTTCACTTTCAGATTTATTCACAATAGTAGTTAAGTCCTCAACCTGTTTATTTAACCTAACTGTCTCTTCTGGATCAGCACAGGTTTTCACCAGTTCATCCAGCTTTTCTTGCAAAATTCTCTTCTCTTCTTTCTCTCTCTGAAGAATACCATTCATATGATTTGACCATGAGATACTCTTGCTAAGACTAGAATCTACTTGAGCATACTTTTCTTTAAGCTCACGATATTCTTTAGTATAAAAAACTGCCATTTTAAAAAAATTGATCAGTTAAGGATCTATGCAGTGAAATCAGATAAAAAATACGAACAGTTAAGCTCAAAAAGAACAGAAAAACACACGCAAAAACAAATATACAGTGATCCAAAAAGAAAATCTAAACACAAACAATCGAAGAAACCAAAAACAGTCTAAAAACAATAAACCAAGTCCAAAAATCTAGATACAAGCCCAAATACAATACAATGTATGCCGTAAACAGTGAACAATTAGCAATTCCAAATTAGCTTGAGATGTCCTTGATACTGTATGATTCAACAACTGTTCAAAAACAGCAACCAACAGCAAGTAGTGTAAAACTCTTCAATCTGCTTCACTTTTCCAAGAACAGGACTTTTCACACTGTAATGTTCAAAAAAAAAGCTTAAACCTGCTGTGTATTGCTAAGTCGCCTCACTGCCCAAGCTTTGCTATGCCTTAAAGTAGCTGGCACAATGTACCCAAATAGCCTTTGATGTATCTGTCACTAATCCTGCTGCTTAAACCTTAAAGAATTTCGCAGCAGCAACCTGTCTTGAATTTAAACAAAACAACAACTTAGAACTGAGAATTGGAGACAGTTCAAAATCAAAACAGTCACCAAATCCAAACACAAACGTTGTTGCTGCTATCACAATGTTATTGCTGTCACAATGTTGTTGATGCTGCTGCTTCTTCAACCAACAGAATCTGTGTAGCTGTGTAACAGTGCAATGTTAAACCTTGCTTCTTATTTACTGCTGCTGTGGAATTGTTGTTTCAAATCAAAACGCAGCACAACAAAAAGTAGTTACTGCACTAAACTTTCTGCACAAAACAGAAACAATCTCAAAATGTGTTAAATCACTACGCAAAGCAAAACTGAGTGTTAAATCAAAACCTGTGTATGCACACAAATTAAACCTGTTACTTCTGTCAAAATAGTTGCCTGCACACTGTGAATCGGCTTCCTGCTCTCTCTGTTAAGACTTGCAACCTGTTGTTTGCGGCTGTTCTGTTTCTTATTGCGTTACTGTTTTGTTGGTACAAAATGCAGACTGTTAAACTCTTTTGAAACTGTAAACAACTGCTATTCTTGTTCTGTCTGTTAAGACATGCTGCTGTCTTATTTCTAAACACAAACACAGCACACTCCGATATGTACTTGCTGTTACAATTTAACAAGCTGATCTGCAGAATGAACCTGCTGTGTAATTGCTATCAAAAATCAAGAACAAAGGTATGTTGCTGTTCTCGTTGCTGTTGGGTAGTTGCTGTCACAAAACAACACAGACTGTTGTTTCTCTTCTTGCTGTCAAATAGCAAGTTGACTTGCTGTCAAAATCTGTAAAACAGCAAACTGTTGCTTAGTCTTTAAAAAATCTGTTTCAAGCTGCTGTACATATCAGTTCAATGCAAGCTGTACGGAGTTTGGTTAACGACATGGCCACTTTTGGGTTCATAAACTTGGCGACCCACACAGTCTCATCAGCCTCAGCAATCTGTAATGCCTCTTGAAGAAAATTGACTAACTCTGGAGTCAATTTAAGAAGAGGGGGCCTCAAAGCAAGGCGAAAATTCAAGGCTGTCACAGTCCCAACCTGTTGATCGACATTTTTTTTGACCTTAGAGGGCGTATGAGAAGTGATTAATGCTGGCTTTACTAATTGGGTACTTCTCATTGCCTGACTGGAACTCGCATGCAAAGGAGTCACCTGCTACTGATGATTGCAAAGACAAGGATACAGGGGACAGCATCAGTTTCACTTACAAGTTCGAGATATTGGACTCTATTTTGTTTATACTTGTGGTTAATGCTGATTACCAATTTTAAAGCTTGATATTCCTCAGCTGTACTGCACTTTCATTGAAAACTGTGATTCAGATACCTTATTAAAAGGAATTTCATCAGAGTGTTCCGTTCCAGCTGAATTTATTGCCGATCAAAATCATTTTTTTTATTAAATTTATTCGGGCAGGACTTATCTCTACATCATCTTCTTAGGAAAGATGATGCTTCTGATTCCTTGAAATTTAATCCGAGTAGTGAAGTGAGAAGTGATTGCCCTTTGAATACCGGTGAAGTGATGACCGGTGAAGATGACCGGTGAAGAGATGACCGGTGAAGATGAATACCGGTCAAGTGATGACCGGTGTAGGATGAACACCGCTCAAATTAAACCTAAAGATCGACTTACCTGCGATCGCCCGGTATATCTCTCCGTTCAAGGAATCCGATTAAGTTGTACGCGGTTTCCCTTTGAAATTGATTGATATATCAACCGGTGAACAATCCGGTCAAGTTACACCTTTGATTTATCTTTTCTCCGTTCAACTTGTGTAAGATTTCTTATCCGCTCAAGTTTTAGAAGGAAACCTCATGAATCAAGTTTTTAGAGTCCGGTCAAAATGAAATTGGGCTTAAAATGAATTTTGGGCCTTTTACATTTTAGACGGTTTAACAAAAATAAAACAAATTCAAAAAAAATCAGATTAAAACTAACAAAAAACACAAAAACTAAAAAAATTTAACAAAAACTGGATCAAAACACTGATTTACGAAAAAAAATTTAAGAACACGAAAAAAAATTAAAATCTAAAAACCCGATCAAATCTTGATTAAAATTGATCAAATCATAAAAATTTGTGAATAACAAAGATTCACAATTCAATTTCGAACATTTTGATCTTGTTTTTAACGCAAAAACACAAGATTTTATAAAAAAATCGGATCAAAATCAAAGAAAATGTCAAGAACACGAAGAACACGAAAAAAAATTCAAAAAAAAATTCACTTATCTGATCGATTTCTTTTCCTGATTTCTTGCATTCCAGCTTTGATACCAATTGTGTGTCCACAATCACTGATCAATCTTTATATTAAGCTTCCTTCAATGGCAGATTCATGGATTTATCATTCAAGAACACTTTGAACACTTTATGAATATTGAGAGGAAAAGTCAATCCTCTCAATTCAGTCAAACCTTCTATTATCAATGAATATTACAATTAGCTCTTCTCTCTCTAATTACAAAGATTAAACCATATTTATATGGTCAATCATATTAAGACAAAGTCAAAGTCAAACTAGTCTAAGAAAGTCAAACACGCTGACTTTACAATTATAGACTAAAATTAATCTTTCAAGGCGAATACAATTAATACTGATTTTTCAGTCCTAACATAAAATGAAAGTTTTAAAAGTATATTATCCAAAATAAGAATCAAATTAAAGTATGTTACTTTTTAATGCAATTTACATATCTATACTATCTTATTAAGCAAATTTAGCAAAAGTCTTAAAGTCTTAAAATATTAAATGACCAAAATACCATTTATACTCACTTTTTCACTTTTTTCACCCCCTTCTCTCCTCACATACACTCACCCCCTCACATACACTCACATTCTTACAACTGATTTTTTTAAAATTATAATTTTAAATTTACACTTTATACCCCTATAATTAATTAATTTATTTATTTTACGTCCTTTACTTTTAAATGTTTCGTTTTAAACATTTATCAAATTAACATATATAATCGTATATCAATTAAAACATGTTTAAAAAATACATTTTTATTTTAACAAGTTACACCATTATAATCGTCTCGTTAATACATCTGAAATGAGTCCAATATTGAATAGTTTTTGATTTAATTATATTATTATATATTATATATACTGTGAAAAAATATTTTTAATATTTACGATTTATACTTTTATAGTTATTTATATATATATATATATATATACTATATATTTTGGGGTTAGGCTGTCCAAATTACACTGTATAGTATGTTTTGAATTAATATGTTATTGGGTTTTTTTGAAATATGTATATACATGTATTAATTCAACCTTAATATGAGTTTCTGGACAAGAAAGAGGGTAAGCAGTTGAAATTTCATTCTAAAACCCATCTTTTTTTGTCTTTTCAT